TTCTCTTGCCTCAGCCTACCAAGTAGCTGGGACTACAGGCGCCCGCCACAATTCCAAGCTATTTTTTTGTTGCAGTGGTCATTGTGGTTTAGCTGGCCTGGGCCAGGTTTGAACCCTCCAGCCTATGTACATGTGGCCGGTGCTGTAACCACTGTGCTACAGGTGCTGAGCCTAAAAGCTTACTTCTGATTCCATTTAAGCCAAGTACATAGAATATGATACTTAATCATTCAAACCTGTTGGCCTGCCTGTAATTCCCATAGAGAGCATCCCTTGGAGGGAGTGTTCTAAATTTCAACCTTGGCAGCAACTTTGTGAATCACCGTTGCCTGAACTTTCACTGCCATGATTTTTTGCCATATTTTTATTATATTCTAAGTATATATATATATATATATATTTGAGATAAAGCCATGGCATCACAGCTCACAGCAACCTCCAACTCCTGGGCTCAAGCAAGTCCCCTGCCTCCGCCTCCCAAGTACCTGGGACCACAGGCGCCTGCCATAACACCTAGCCATTTTTTGGTTGCAGCCATCATTGTTGTTTGGGGGGGCCCGGGCTGGATTCGAACCCGCCACCTTAGGTGTATGTGGCTGGTGCCTTAGCCGCTTGAGCCACAGGCGCCGAGCCTATTCTAAGTATTAAAGCTGGAACTTAGTTTTATTCCGAGCTACACAAAATAAAATATGTAAATTGCTTATTGTGATTTCTCTAATGTCCATGAAATTAATAATGTAATTGGTAAAATAAAACATGTTGGTGTGTGTACAACTATTGGTTTCCCTGTACTCCATTTCAGAAAATACATTTCCATAGGAATATGAGCGTAGGTGTAGCATAATGTGTTTAACTTAGCTTCTCTCTTCTTTGAGAGATACAAAAGGAGAGGGGTGCATGGGATTACACTTCCTGACAAATTCCTCATCATTTGATTGCCTTTTTAGGTGAGAAGTAATTAGATCCTTTCTTTTTTTTTTTTTTTTTTTTAATTGTTGGGGATTCACTGAGGGTACAAGAAACCAGCTTGCACTGATTGTAAGTGTTAGGTAAAGTCCCTCTTCCTAGATCCTTTATTTCAACAGACTTTAGAGTCCTTTTCCTAAAATATAATCCCTTTACCAATATGTGCTTGGGACATTTTATTGATCATGAGTC